CCCATATCGCCCCTCCCCATCTAAGGCGACAAGAATCTACCCTCAAAGAATACAGGAAGGCCAATCTTCCATGGGAAACGCCCATCCCCATCCAGTCTGAAGTCCTCAGACCACCTCGAACACGCCTAAAATCCAGAAAGCCCTTCTGGACCGAGGGGAAGAATCTCCTGGACCAGGATTTCAACACCTCCGACGCCTGGAAAGATTCTTGGCTAAAGAACCCTCCAAAAAACGGTCTTTCACTCATCGAAGACCCAACAGTGGAAGTCCCTGGCATGGACCTCCCCAGGCGAGAGTGGATCACCCTCAATCGCCTCCGCACTCTACACGGTAGATGCCAAGACTCTCTCTTCGTATGGGGCCTTACCAACTCCCCACTCTGCCCATGTGGTGATAACCAAACTATTAATCACATCGTGAATGAGTACTCTATTTTTTACTTCCAAGGAGGTTTCCCTGACCTACACCGTCTCACTGACGAGGCGTTGATTGGGATCCGGAACCTCCCTTTCAACCTGTGACTCTATCTCCTTTAACTCCTCCTCTCCTCCTTCTCCCGGGCGCTGGCACCTGCAAGGCCCAGGAATCCTCTACTCCGCCTACCCTCTTCCATCTATGATAATGTGCTGTATAGTATGTCATACGAATAATAATAATATGCAGTCATAATTATTCATTAGGGTCATATAGTCGGAAATTATTTTTAAGCAGAACGGACAGGCATTGATTGTTGAATTCAATAGACAAGTATTTCTCTGCATGCTTAATTCGTAAAACATCCAACTTCAAGGACATATCCCCTCTCCGAATTTGAGGTACAACTCGTAGAATAAATGTATCCAGCAGACGTGCTCACCGCAAGGACATCTCACCCGAAATAAAGCCCTAATGACCTTTTCAACACCTTCGGATCGATGATCCCTTCCATTCCAACATCCTATCACTTCTTTGCAGGCATGCCGCACACTCGGATGTGCGATGAAATACATGAAGCTGAATTCTTTCATTTGTGCTCGACGGTGTCAGAGTTAGATGTCCCGTTATGAAAGCTCGGACACAGCACAAAAATTCATGTTCTCTAGAAAGCATGACTCAACTGAGCTTTTGTAAACTTCTAACGTTATTTATCTCAAGAGGACGTCATATTTCCGCAGATATCACACAAATGAATGTATGTCCGAACTTAAGTTTCTCAAACATTTATTGATCTAAGCTCGGACACACCAAAGTAAGACAATCATCTGATCAAAGCACGTGCATTCTGCATAACAGGACACCATGTCCTCCTACTTTCCTGGGATGTAAGTAATTGAGCATCAAAAACAAAAACGTCATGTGAGAAACGTTTTAAAACTCGGGTTCTCTCCTTACCGATTCTTGAAGAATTCCTCCTGTTCGCGATATAACATTAACCTAAGCCAAAAACCTTGGAATCGTGCAACGTAAAGATTACCACCGCTTTTCCTTCCCTCAGAAACGTGTTCATCTCATGTTAGGAAGAATCATTTCTGAAAGCGGCTCCGCGAATTCTTAGTTTTGTAGCAATGTTTGCAGCAGTGTTCGGACTTAGGTACTGTCCGAACTTGAGTAGTTTTAACCTAATCACACCCAAAAAAAAACCAACATTACCATAACGCTCTGGATGTGAAAGAATTCAGGCAACTCACCCACGTCAAGAACACGTAAGCTTGGGAGATGAAACCCAGGCTCTAGATAGGATATGTTATTCCGAGATAGAATGATGATTTCCAAGCTTTCACTTTGAAGCAATTGCCAAGCGTTGAATACATTATTATAGAGGGAGATCCGAATGATTTTCTTGAATTCGGGGAGGATGTCCCAAGGGAAGCTCTTCAGTACGCCGTACCCCATTTGCAGATCCCAAAGACGGTCTTTTGAGGGTAGGATTGCATGTGGATGGACGCTGCTAATGGAAGTGCGGTAAATGAATAGTTCTTCGAATGAGACTTCTCCGAAAACTCCTGCAGGCAGCTCTTGAATGCCCTCATTGTAACTCAGGTTGAATCTCCTGTATGCCAATAAGAGGATGAGATTCTCAGGTTAAATACAGCGCAAAATATATGAAAGTACTTGAATAGACACGTCATGCGCGATCCGTTTCGCGGGTGATGAATTCTCAAAATACATAAATAATTCCGGTTTGGGATGCCTACCGAAGTGGACTACCTTCAGAATGGTGAAATCATTGGTATCATCTTTCCAGGCAAGTGCACTGTACTCAAGAAAGGTTTTCCTAGGCATTTCTGGTGGAGTCTTTTGTTGTTTTGGTGGGATCCTTCTTCGCACTGGGTTCCCGGTCAATTCCCCGACAGTCAATTCCCCGAATGGTTATTTCCCCGTTTGGGATTTCCCCATAGGAAATGCATTTGTTCCCATTTAGTTTCCTGTCTCGCACATCATGCAAGGCGGAGTGAGGGGGGGGGCGGGGAGATGCGGCCGCCCCCCTGCCGAGTTGGAACCAAAGGAAGGGGGGTCTAGGCAAACGTAAGGAATGGGGAAAGTCGTTCATCTTCTCTATTCCTGGAGTGGAGGAAATCATTAAATTATTCGCCTCCCACCTAAGGGGAACATGACTGTCAATACAATGCCAGTCAGATAATCGATAAAGATTCTCACGGGAAAAGGAAAAAGATGAAAAAGGCGACAGAAACAGTTGTAAGAGCCGCTCTCGGCCGCCAGAGATGAGACGATCGACAAGATGTCTATGAAAATCTAAAACGGGGCTACATATGGAGAAGAGGGGTGGCTAAGGAATCAGATCATTAAGTGGTCAGTGCTTGGACGGTGTGAGAGTTCGTGCATTCATGGAGTTCGTGATGAGCGAAAAGGGCAGGAATCTTCTTGCTCTTGAGGGCTATGTGCACACAAAGAACTAGATTAGGAAGGACAGACGATGAACTTATTGGGAGTGCCTCTCTAGAAGATACAAAGAAAAATTGCAATTTCAGAGCTACAACTGAAGGAGAGCAGGTTGTCAGCAGGCGAGGTCAACATCATCATGCTCCAGAACCTGTGGAGTAGTTTGTGGTATCAGTCCTTATCACCTCATTTAATTGAGGTATGAGTTTCACGGGCGTTCTCTATGGATTTTATATCTCCTATTCGTATAAAATCACCCGTCTCCCAAGGGGGTTCTCAATAGGAATATGAGCTTGTTTATGGCATGTACTCTCTAAGTACGTCTTGAATATGTGGATAACAAATGATGAAGTGTCCGTGTTTATTGATTCCTATAATGAGACTAGGTGAGACATATGGCAAGGTACTAAACAATCTTGCGAGGGACTATTCCAGGGAAAGAGAGAAGGGAACTTTTGTGTACTGTGCGAAAAGCGAGATCCTTATCTCCATCTAGTGGCCCGGCGAAGAACTTCAAGGTGTTCTCTTCAATACGAGCGATGAGGGAGCATTTGGTGAGTAATAAGAGAGTAAATTCGAAAAGCTCACAGTGTGCTCACTTTTTACTCTCCAAACGCTCGGAATTGAAAGCGCCGATGAGCTGCAAGGTCATCTGGCATTAGTTGACTTTGGATGCCTTGCGGAGGAACCCGTCACGCCAGACAATATCATATGCGGATGACAGATCGACCAGTGCTACTCCGGTCTTCTGCTTGTTTTCGAAGCCGGCCTTAATTAGGCTGGTTAGGGAAAGGGGAAAGCACTTGGTCGCAACTATTGCTCCCGGGGGGAAAACCAACATGCTCCTCTGGAAGAGAGCAGCTTCGATGGTGGGAGAGAGGCGTGTCAAAAGTGTTCTCTCCATGAGCTTGCTGACTGTGCAAAACAGCGAAATTGGCCGGTTGCTGTTGGCTTCCTGTGGCAGCTTTCCTGGCTTGAGGAGGGCAATGACTTTTGCCCGACGCCAGATTGGCGGTAGCTGTCCTGTTGTATGTATGATGGTGAACAGAAAGGCTAGCCATTGCCGTCCCAAGTTCTTCAAGAATCGGAGGAATTTCCATTCATGCCGGCCGCTTTCCTGTTTTTAGTGACCGGAAGGGCCTGGTCGATCTCCTCCATTGAGTATGGAGATGAAAAAGCAGTGTCAGTTGGGGACTGCAAGAGGTTCCCGAAGTATTCTTTATGCACCAGTCTCAGAAATATTTTGTCTGTTGGCATCTTGGGGTTTTGGAGAAGACGTGCTGCAACAGCGTTTGCCGACATGCTTGTCGGCTTTGGCTTCACCAAGTCTGCTACTCCCAGGTGTCGGAGGAGCAACCATGCCTTCCTGCTAGAGTGCGTGAAGTCGAGGCCTTCGACGGTCTTTTGCCATCTTCTTTGTCGCTCAAAGTTAAGTGACTCTATAATCGCCGAGGCCTTGTCTGGTTTTCCACTCTGCGGGTATTCTTGGAAGAGAGATTCTGTCTCTTCCGATCAGCAAGGGGTTAACGATGGAAAGATCGATGTTACAAAGCTAAATGCTTGAAATTTTCGCTGGTTTCTAATTCTTCAGCATTTTATTATTTTCCTAGCATACACAAATTACAAATATTAATTTTTGAGCAGTCAAAAATCAATTAGCTCACTTGATTAGCTTTAATTAATTAGGTAATTACATAATAATGGATTGCAAGTAATTTTATTGAAAATCTGAGAACAAATGAAATATACCCTAAAACGTCTTATGTCAATAAGTCTATGCGAGGACGGCTAGGAGGGTAACGATCACGCTTATATCATCTTACGTGAATTCCGTGAGGGGCCAGTGGGTCTCGTTAAAAACGGTGGAGATTTCGTCAATCGAGTCCGCTTCCGAACAGTCAATTGTCANCCAACGATGAAGGACACTCTCCCTGGTCGCCCATTTTCCAGTCGGGCCGCTATTGCATCAGCGATTTTCCAGTGGGCAAAACAGACCCCTAAAGAAGCGTTCGCGGCAGCCATGGAGTCATGGCGTCGACGTTGTGAAAAATGTGTTCGTCTACAGGGAGATTATGTTGAGAAGTGACAGAAGTTTCAACTTTCTGGTGTAGGTAGTTTGTCAGAAAAAAATTAGGAGACCTTAGAACTTGAACGCACCTCGTATGTATGATGGTGAACAGAAAGGCTAGCCATTGCCGTCCCAAGTTCTTCAAGAATCGGGGGAATTTCTATTTATGCCGGCCGCTTTCCTGTTTTTAGTGACCGGAAGGGCCTGGTCGATCTCCAACACTGAGTATGGAGATGAAAAAGCAGTGTCAGTAGGGGACTGCAAGAGGTTTCCGATATATTCTTTTTGCACCTATTTCAGAAATATTTTGTCGGTTGACATCTTGGGGTGTTGGAGAAGACGGGCTGCAACAGCGTTTGCCGACATGCTTGTCGGCTTTGGCTTCACCACGTCTGCTACTCCCAGGTGTCGGAGGAGCAACCATGCCTTCCTGCTAGAGTGCGTGTCCTTCGAGACCTTCGACGGTCTCCTGCCATCTTCTTTGTCGCTCTGAGTTAAGTGACTCTGTAATCGCTGAAGCCTTGTCTGGTTTTCCACTCTGCGGGTATTCTTGGAAGAGAGATTCTGTCTCTTCCGATCAGCAAGGGGTTAACGATGGAACGATCGATGTTAAAGCTATATGCGTGAAATTTTCGCTGGTTTCTAATTCTTGTCGTAAAATAATAAAAGGATCGTATGTGTTTAATGTTTATAATTAAAAACTCGTCAGTTTTTAGTTAATCGAGTGAACTAATCGAAATTAATTAATCCATTAATGTATTATTACCTAACGTTCATTATTTATTGAAAATCTGAGAACAAATGAAATATACCCTAAAACGTCTTATGTCAATAAGTCTATGCGAGGACGGCTAGGAGGGTAACGATCACGCTTATATCATCTTACGTGAATTCCGTGAGGGGCCAGTGGGTCTCGTTAAAAACGGTGGAGATTTCGTCAATCGAGTCCGCTTCCGAACAGTCAATTGTCAAAGGACGGCTAGGAGGGTAACGATCACGCTTATATCATCTTACGTGAATTCCGTGAGGGGCCAGTGGGTCTCGTTAAAAACGGTGGAGATTTCGTCAATCGAGTCCGCTTCCGAACAGTCAATTGTCACCGTGTCGAGGCTTTCATCATGGATGCAGGTGCAGGGAAGGATGTCATTGGGATCGGGACAAACATCTTGCCCGCTGATCCCCGTGAAGGAGGTGAGAAGGAAGATGAAACGGGAGACTACGCTGAGGCACTTACGCATCTTTGAGGTGAGTGGAGTGGGAAATGGTTTGAAGGAAGGCTGGGGTAGATTGGATACTACCAGTTATCTTTTTCTCCAGCGAATTCTATAATCTCACCTTGTGGATGGGAAAATCTGCACATGACTGGTTCCATGATGGTAAAAAAGAAAATAGCCGCACATAAATATCCTGCGAGAGCAAGAAAGTTATGGGATATAGGTGTGTTGATTAATTTGGACTAAGAGGTCACCTAACTTGTTACAAATTATGACAACAACCACTCTTTTGCGAATGAATGAAGGTAACACCTTGACCTCTGTGATTGAGAGGAACATGTGAGGGAAGCCAATTGAAGAGGGGATAGGATGCTAAGGTACAAACAATACAGTGAGTCAAAAAATCTCACATCAGACATATTAAAGTTTTTCTTTTCCCCGAACTTTCTTCGTACATTGAATTTCTTGAAAAATTTTGGGAAACATGATAACAACCCGGGAAGTAGACCTGTACGAAGTGTAGTCCGAAAGTCCGTACCGCGCGCTTCTAGCAGACGTACTAGGCTTGCGAAAGCATATATATTGGAATGAAATATGTAGATCCAAGGGATGAAACTTTAGACCATCCACTTTTCCTGGGGAACTATTATTTTAACACTCTGGGTGCTCAATCATACGCCACTGATATCTATCCTTCAGCGCATGGTCATAGTATGCAATATGTACGCAGCTTTTATTTTGGCGAAAGTGTTGGCCTTAGCGTGGAATTGACTTCCATGGGGTTAACTGCAATGCAGTTTTCCAGAGGAAAGGAATATGGATGACTTCATGATCGTATCGTGTATCGTGGGCAAGCAAGGTCTCACCAGGTTGATGGATAGCCCCTTCTCCGAGTTAAAGAAGCACCAGCATGCAGGGGGGGACGGGAGGATTCCTTCATCAATTC